GTCTGGAGAGACCCATTAATTATTGCTGTATCCCATTCAGATGTTATAGGCCTGGCTGCTTTGATTAGCCAAGCTGGGCAAGGGGCAAGGGAGGAGGAGGAGGCATGACAGCGGTCAAACACTCTGCCCACCATATCTGGGGCTGAAAGTGGTTAAGACTCATCCGGCAAGACGAAGCGCTGGACATCTCAGCTTGATCCACTGTTTTCAAATAGGGGGTAAGATTCTGATGGATGGCCTCCACTTTTGATTTCAAAAAGGCTGCAAATTGGTCAGGTGAGATACTAGGGGGAGGCCCATCGCCCGGACGAATTCCGGAGCGGTCGCGTACTATACGGACTGAGAATTTGTGTATAAAGAGTTTGTTAATACCAATGAATGAACCTCTTGAAGTTAAGCCTGAGTTGTCATTCATTGATATATTGAAGAATATATTGAGTAGTTAGCAAGATGGCGTCGGTAGCGGGCAGTTAGCGTTTTACCTCCGCCGCGCCGGTTCAGACTTTATATTATTTCATGTTATGCCATCGTAGATGGTGGCTGGCCATTACATGCACATATTGAGAGGACCTCCACATCAGGGCATATGATACATGTTTGAAATAAGCACTGGATACATGCATTTATTTTTAGATCTATATGCAAGAGTATACCACAATCCACCAGAGAACGGATATACAGCAAACAATGGCTAGAATGGTATTATTCATCCCTAATTAACAAGCTGAGTGTTGCAGTTCCTGTAATATAGTACTTACATGGCTTGGCATGCAACAGGAAATACAACCTCAGACTTCTTAATTTAGTGGTGATTTGCTGCTAAAATGTACACCGACAGACTTAAACTGGTGTCAGTATTCAATCAGATTTCAGCCACTTTGCAATAGCAATTATACAGCAAATAATATTTCTTCGGTGAGGTTTTCAAAATATAGTTTTAGCAAAAAATAATAGTTTTTAAAATCTAATGAGGGCCCGCTCCACTGTTTATGTGCCTCATTTTTCTCCACTATAAAATGACTAATTATCTTCCCAGATATAACTGAAAGTGATTAGGGCTGCTCATGCCATCATGAACAATCCTTAAGATGCAGGAATCAGTTTATCCTGCAAAAGACTATATTAGGAGGCTTATATGCTAACCTCTAGGTTCAGAGACAGTACACATATAAATGCCAGTAAGTGGGGAACAACAGGCTGCATTTTCCAATCTACCCCACTTATGAGCTTTATTGAAGACATCAAATTGGCCACAGTGAGGAAACAGTGTGCTAGACAAGATAAACTAGCGCTAGACAATAAGTAACCTCCCAGATGGTGCCAATTCCTATCTGCCCCAGCCATTTCTGCCAACAGTGAACTATGACAGGACAACATCTTCACATCTCTGAGGAAGACCTCAGGTGTAACCCAGCAGAGCCCTTATGTTTTGGTGGAAATGCCCTGTAGTTTGACACAGACCTGACTATTACATCAACAATGCTAATAACAATCCTTTGCAGTCACTGAATCCAACAGGAGAGAATCAAGGTCACACCAGTCTAGTAAATGTATATGGATTTTAGAGTGTACTTAAAGAGGAATAAATGTATGGATTCTAATACAAATATGGCAATATTTACATAGAGAAGAGGTCAAACAAGGGATGGGAGATCTGATCACGAACACTGTGATCAGATCTCCCATCACTTGTTGTATTTAACATCTCCACAGAGCTTCTGTTAATTTCATTATTAAATATCTGTGTGTGACTGGTAGGACCAAGCTGAGTATCAGTAATTGTATTTTTCTCTTTAATTTCTTCTTGATCTGAGTTCAACTGCTGGTGCATAATGTTCTACGTCAGGGGTCCCAACCTTTTTCACCTCGCTGACTGGCTGGGGAAGGCAGGGCACCTGCCACGCTCGTGCGCATGTGTGAACAAGCACATGCCGTGGATGCGCAAGTGGCGGTGCGGCGCTTGTGCGGGGGCACGCTCAAGCGTATGTGCAAACGGTGGCACGGCACTCGCACGGGCACACTAGAGCACACGCATGCACAAATCAGCTGTGCAGGTGTGTGTGCGTGTGGGGGTGTGGCGGGAGGTCTGTCTCCGCAGGAGGCTCAGGACCAGCACTGGACCACTGACCAGGGGTTGGGGACCTCTGTTCCATGTAATATGCTTAGTATACTCTATTTGCAAGAGACAGTTGAATTGTATTTAATTTAAATTCATGAAGTTGATCAATAGCCTCAAAGTACTGTACTTAGAACAAAACAAGTATTACAGAATCCTGAATTTTCTTCATATGCAAAATATATTCTTCCAAATACTCCATCCCATGCCTATGCCCACCAGTAGCAAACCAAACAATTCCCAAGAAAATAATTGGACAGATTTCTAACAAAATTTCCTACAATGTTTCTCAAATTCACATCTAAACCCTAAACATAGTTTGTATGCTAAATAGTGAGAGGATATTGAAGTTTTAATGTCCTTCCCTAAACAATGATACTTATTTCCAGAGCATTATCTTAGAGAAGCATGCAAAGGCACCAGATAGTTTTAAATTTGTTCAGGTAAATATATCTGGAAGTAATGTATACCAGACCAGAAACAAGAGGACAGTAATTCACAGGAAAAAAACAGAAATAAGATAGCCACAAGAATGACAGAAAATTGATTTTGAGTGTAATGATCTTTGTTAAGACATAAATAAATATAGATTACTCTTTCCTCAGTCTGACTTCCTTGGTCTGTTTAAAAATTATGTTAACATTGCATCTTCATGGCTAATTTTCATGGGAAAGTGCTATTAGCTGGGGGGGGGGGACTCCTGAAATCAGCTTTTTAAAGCAGACGTGACCTGACTACAGCCTTGTGATTGAAAGAGAGGATTCTGAAATGCACTTTAGTAGCAAGTCCCCAGACACTGATTCTGTAGTCACGATTTAACAACCATTCCATTCAGGAATGCTGGAGCTAACTATGATTAGAAATAATTTAGAGGAGATTATGCCGCGATTAGCAGCCGCTTAGAGAATTTGCAGCAATTGCTTCATTTGCATGAATGTTTTACTCTGTCATGTCAGAATGAACGTTTCTTAGCAATCTATTTTCGGAAACGCGTTGTGATTATAATCAGTGAAATTGAATGTACGTTTCTGAGAGCTGAGAAAGCAGAAATGACCCATTTGTCAAAAGCATGTTGCATACTGACCTTCTGGTACTCATTTCCCCAATATCACCATATTTGGGTGGGCCTTCTTCTCTCCCAAAGCTTTAAAATTACTGTTAATACCAGACATCATCTGTAACTGAGGGAATCGTTTCTTTGGTTTATATAAATTCCACTCTTCCTCCATGCCTATAAAGCAGTTCTTCCAACAGTGGCTGGAGATTGCATGTGTTCTAATTCAATACATGCAGAGGGTGCCAAGATGGGGAAGGCCAGGTCCTGCCCTACCTTTCTCTGAGCCTGACAAGAAGTGTAAGACAAACCTGCAGATGCAGCACCATGGAGAGCTCCAAGCAAACAACTTCCTTCTACAAAATCTGCTTCTAAATTGTAGCCTTTTACAAGGACAGCACCCTAGTCAAGCTCTGTATCGTCTTCAAGATTTGTAGACTTTTAAGAGGCACTCCATCAACCTACAGCCAGCCATCCCTCCTCCTCCTCTTCTCAGTTAAATCACTCCAAGCTTGACAACACATTGATGGGTCAACATGGCTGGCCCAAGAGGCTCAAGCTCAGCCATGACAATGGGGCTTCTTCATTCTCCATCTAGTGTTCCTGCTTCTGGAACTACTGGGAAAAGTGATTTTGTAGGTTTCTCCTTGCCTCAGCTGGAATAAAAAAACAAAGCAAAATAGTGTGCTGCTTATATACTACCCCACAGTAGGCTGGAATAAAAAAGCATAGCAAAATAGTGTGCTGCTTATATCTCCCCACAGTATTTAAAAAACAAAGTGTACTGCTTATATACCACCCCATAGCACTTAAAGCACTCTCTGGGAGGTTTACAATTTAATTATGCAGGCTACACATTTTTTTCTGTCTCCCCCGGAAGCTGGATAAGATTGCCAATGTTTTTTCTGTTTCACACTTAGGAATTTTTACACAGAAAGTTCTCACCAAAAAACATGTTTGAATTCAATGTATTATCACAGTCATGCACTTTTTCAGTTTCATAAAACCACAGTATGTCACATTCATCACAAGAGACAAGAAAAGCTGCACAACGTCTTATGTACTCAAGAGAGGCAGAAAGCTGCTTTTCAGAGGTGTAAACCCATGGAGTGTTGGAATGGTATGAATAATGCTACCATACGGGCCTGGGCAGCTGAATAGACTTTTTCTACCTAGCCAATGTGAGGAAACCTGCTGTCAGACCGCTGCTGTGACATGCTGAATAACCTTTAGATGAACCCAAGCAGGCAATATTTTAATTCCATTCAATAAAAACAAATTAACTTTGATACCACAACAGAAACACATTTAGGTTGAAACAATAAATGCAAATACACTTTCAACATCCAGTCCATATAATAAGTCCAAAGGCTGAGGATAAAGCAACTAACACAAATCAACAATGTTTTTGATTTCTGGACTTGGCACCCTTCTGCCAAACCACCAAGAGCACTAACAAGTTTCTTCCCTTCAGGCTTCTTATGATATCGGGTGGGCGGGTGCATTCAGTAAAAGCCTGAGAAAGATTCCCAAAGGTTGCAAGAAAGGGACCCATTTATCTAATAATATATCACAAACCATTATTTGCATAACTGCTTTCATTCAAGGAACATTCCACCCAGCATTTGGGGGGAAACCTCCATAGGGAGGCCTCCATAGGGACACATTTGGGTCAGCGGTGTTCCATGTAAAAGGGAAATAAAACCACCGTAAAAATGTTCACAAAGAAATATCACCACATTTAGGATGAAACGAAGCAATGGGGGGAAAAAAACTGCTGCAAAGCAAACCAGCCAGAAGTAGCCACAATATGCACTGAGTAGTACCAACCTGGTCTTCTTGGGCTTGGCTTTTGGAGGAGCCTCTGAGTTGCTCTTCTTCTCTTTAGGCTCCTTTGGGATTTTGGGCTCCCGTGGCTTCCTGGGTTTCTTGGCCCCCTCCTGTTTGGGCTCCTTGGGCTTTTTAGGCTCCTTGGGCTTTTTGGGTTCTTTTGGTTCCTTAGGCTCTCTCTTTCTCTTTGGTTTTGCCTCTTTTCCACCATCCAGCTCCTGAAGCCCCAGCTCTTTTTTTTTCCGTTTCTTCTTCACCCCAGTGCCCCCACCTGCATCGTCCTTCATCCCATTATGGGAGGTCACCACGGTCTGCATAATTTCATTGGGTATTTCCACAGGTACCACATCATGCTGGTCCTTTTGGGCCAGGCTGTCGCTGGCCAAGTCAGAGATTGTCACCAGGTCATGCAAATCTTCCTGGTCTGTGCTATCACCAAAAGGGGACTCTGGCTTGCATTCGAAGGTGATGGAGGCATCAGACATTGGGGAATGACTCAACACTTTAAAATTCGGCAGCTATAAAGACAAAACAAAGAAACAAAAGAAACATAATCACACATGTCAATTAAAGTGTGTCAAGCTACTGAAGGCTGAATAATCTTTCTTGATTACTAAAAGGATAGGACTGGAGGAGAAGCAACTCTTACTCCTATAATTCAGTGGGAACCCCTAGGCTGAATTATGGAACTGTGGCCATCAAAATGGCAGGAAGCAGAGCAGCCCTTTTATCTCCATGACATTCACCTCTGAATGCCACCATGCTGCACCTTTGTGAGTCATGAGGACTCCCTGCAACTTGCAAAGTGTGTATGAGGAAACAGGTCCTTATGAAGGCAGCCTCCATAGAGACTAGTTTCCCCAGTGCACCCTTATGAGTTGCAGGGAATCCTCACAATTCACAAAGGTGCAACAGAATGATCTTCAACGGTGCAAAGAAATAACACAGAAACAGCACAGAGGTAAGAGGACTGCTCTGCCTCCTGGCATTTGACAGTTCCTAGTCCCATCATTCAGCCTGGGGAGTTTCTGCCAAATGATGGGACTGGGAATTTCTTTCTTCCAAAAGTTCCATCTCTATTAATTACTACAGCTAAAAAAGATGAAAGGGACGTGGAGGCGCTGCAGGTTAAACTGCAGAAGCCTCTGTGCTGTAAGATCTGTAGATCTTCAGCTGTAAGTTCGAATCCACGCAACGGAGTGAGCGCCCGTTGCGCTTCCCAATTCCTGCCAACCTAGCAGTTCGAAAGCATGCAAATGCAAGTAGATTAATAGGGACCACCTCAGTGGGAAGGCAACAGCGTTCCGTGTCTAAGTCGCACTGGCCATGTGACCACAGAAGATTGTCTTCAGACAAAATGCTGGCTCCATGGCTTGGAAACGGGGATGAGCACCGCCCCCTAGAGTCGAACACGACTGGACAAAAATTGTCAAGGGGAACCTTTACCTTTAAAAGATGAACAGTCTGTCTAGCCTGCATCATCTTGGAATGGAAGCTACTGCATCATTATCATTTGGACAAAGGCAAAAGAGTGCTTTAAGATGGACAGTCTATCTAGCCTGCATCATCTTGGGATGGAAGCTACTGCATCATTAGCATTTGGACAAAGGCAAAAGAGTGCTTTAATAGATATATTCATTCAGTACCTCTGCAATGATTCCACAGTTTTAATCTTGGCTGTACCTACTTTTTCTATAACTAATACAGGAAGCTGACACATACTGGCCTGGATCTTGTTGCTTTGTTACACTTGCAAAAGGCATAACATTCGATCATTCCTAGCTGGCAAAAAGCAAGTGCCTATTGGGACTGCCATGCATACACCAAGCCAGCGGGCACGTGGGCCTTCAAGAATCCCACAGGTGATTTGTTAATTACTGGCTAAGAAAGATGGAATGTTGTGCCCTTTTGTCTTCTACAGGATTTCAGCTACTAAGTTAGATTATTGATCCATCTACCCCAGTACTGTCAACTCTGACTAGTGGTAGCAGTTCAGTTTTTTCCCCTAGTATTCCCTGGTGCTCTCTCAAGTCCAAACACCAACCAGGCTTTGCTTCAGATATGGAACACAATGAGGTAATTTTATCATAATGTCATATAGCGTTCTTCTCTGTGCCAAAAATAATCTACAACAGGACTGCAGGATCAATACCTGCAGTTTCAGTTATCTGCTGCCTGAAAATATTCAATTTTTAAAAAACAGATACAGTACATCCATTTCACAGGTGTATTACTAGAACTAGCCACCAGACAGAGCCAGTGACTATGCCATATATAGGGCTTGCTACATGAAATTTTCAGCACCCAAAGTCCTGTTATTCATTCTTGTCCTCTGCTCTTCTGACCTGGGAGTCTTATCTCCCAGCAGTATCTCATGTCATTCTGGAGAGTTTCATCACTGGGCTTTTAAGGCAAAAAAAGTTCAGCAGTGGTTTAACATTGCCTCCTGTTTTCACAGTAAAAAGCTTCAGAAGTGGCTTACCACTGCTCCTTACCATTGCTCCTTTCAGTAGGGCCCCCATATCCATGAGGGACCAGTTCCAAGCCCCCACCCTGCAGATGCCAAAAAAAGTGGACTATTGTATAGCAAATCCTATTTTAACAGCAAACACGATACACAGCCTGGTCTCTGGCTCCCTCTAGTGGTCCGTTGTGGTACCTTCTACCTTCTTTAGATATTTTTCTAGGATTTTTAAAAATATATTTTTAATATTTTCAAACCATGGAAAAGTGAATCAGCAGATACTGATCCCATGGACAAGGGGAGGCCCTTCTGTACTAACAAAATTATCTCCCACCAGTGTCATCTTCAGCTACCACTTCTGCCCAGTGGATGCCCTCCAGGTTTTTTCCGCTACCATCACCACTGAAATTATCCTTTCTCTCCTGCTGCTGCAGCTGTTGCTCCTGAAGAGGGTTGAGTGCATCTTAGTGTGGTGGATCAGCTGTGAACATTCCACCTCAGATGACCTTGCTAGGAGTTGGAGGTCATAACAGGAGTCTAGCCTCCAGACAGCACTGCTCTCAACTTTTGACACACAACCCCTATCACAATGTTCAGATATGCATCCAAGAAAGAGAGTCTACATTCTAAGCATCTTATTTTTTGTAGCAAAAATTGCAGAGAAGACTGGGATAATGTTTGTATTATGTTTTGATTGTCAGTTGTTGATTTTTATATGATAGCATGCCACACAAATGAAAAATAGCATTACCAAATTTTAATTCTTTATCTAAAGAAAAAAATAAGGATCCAAAGAGAGGGGGGGAAAGCAGGGGTGGGTGATCAATGGCCACAGCACACATCAGCTCACGGCCTGAATGACCAGATAGCCCTTGACCACAGAAAAGGCTCTGGCAAATTGCCAGTTTAGAAGCCTGCAAGAGCACTCTGCCCCTTCTGCAACAGTCCACAAGATGGGCTGAGAAACAGTATGAAAGGAGAGGAAAGGGGTGACCTGGATTTGGTTCTAGGCTGACACGCTGCAGATTTCAGCCTTATTCATAGCTGCCGCCATAGAGCCTATGACATTAAACCCCAGTGAAATATACCCCTGAACATAAAAACCTTCACCACCTACATCATCCACCCTGCAAGAGTCTAGTACTTTTAAACTTGTCAAACAGAATAAGCAGCCACAATGGAACCTGGCTGGACATCTGCAGTTCATCAAGTATTTTTAAAAGGATGCTATAGACAAGCTCCTCACATGCTTCCATGCATAAAGGAAACAGAAGTAAGTAGTAGAAACTATTTTCAAAGAGAGACCAAGTGCATACCAGTGCACTACACTGGATGTTTACACATCTCAGTCTCTTATGGGGAAACCCAAGGACACCAGCTGGATTCTCACTAATCTTTTTTTAAATGGATCTTTTTGTGGAAAAATCATTCAATGTACCATTTTCAGTGTGTTGTATTCTTCCAGGAGAATCACTGTAAAATTCTCTCCCTGGAACAAAACAGTGTGCCAGAGAAGCTTAGAGAGCATTTCACTGCAGCCAAACACATCTGCCAGTTTCAAAACTAAAAAAGATATGTCCCTTTTGGCACCTAATACAGATCATCATAGTTTTCATCACAGCCAGGCAGTAAAACCTTATGCTCCATCTTGTCATTCTTTTTAAAAAATCACTCCCACTAGTTCCTGAAATAAGATTTCATCAAAAATAGCCAAATGACAAAATACAGCTCTCTTGATGAAAACAAGTAGAGCTTGCTATAAAAGACATAACATAAAAATGCAAACACAGCTAAAATCTACCAATAATCAAGTAATGCCATTGTTATTGTTACCTAATCAAGAAACGTTTCAGAATACCCATAACTTTAATCCACTCTGCTGCATAATGTCAGTCAATTAAGTGACTCTTATTTCTTTTCTTTTGATTCATGCCATCTTGGGAATGTTTGCTCTAAATTAATTGTTAAAATTGTAAATCTACGATTTATATTTTATATCGCTTTGTTTTTATTTATGTAAAACTGTGTATATGTTAAATTGTTTTTATCTTGTATGTTGTGAGCCGCCCAGAGTAGACTGTGTCTGGATGGGAGGCATATAAATACAACCAAACAACCAATCAATCAATAAAATAACTTAACCACAGTGATAATTGTTCTTACAGCATAACCCAGACCTGGGCAAAGTGCGGCCCAAGGGCCACATATGGCTCGCAAGCTGATCCTGTCCAGCCCGCCGGTCGTCGCTCCAGTCCGGTGTTCAAGCACTTGTTCAAGCCCAAGACAGACTGGATTTCTCTCACTGAACAAGTTGAGCATCAAAACCATTTATAGCTTTTTGTCTAAAGTTGATCAGTTGCTTATCTTTAACATACCGCAAAAAAACTCTTTCGTAAGTTGAAAGATTATCAAGTTTAAAATAAAACAATCATCACTGTTTAATTTTATTTTTAAGTAAAGTTGGTTCGGCCCCTGAACACAGTTCAGATTTTTCATGTTGCCCCCTATAGAAATTAATTGCTCACCCCTGGCATAACCCTAGCACACCTTTCTGCAAGTAAGTCCCACTGAGACAAACAAATGGTGCGAGAGGAGAGCAGGAGGTGCAGAGCTTTGTTCTGAGGCATTCCAACTGGTAGGCGCTCTGGGAGTTGGCCGCCCTCCCATTGTAGCCTCTACCACAGAAAGAGACTGGCCAGCATTGCCCTTCATGAAAGCCCATCAATTTGAGGGGTATCTTTCTCAATGCAAGGTACTACAAGCACTCAACTTCTAGAGACTGCTTCTATGCTACCACAGTGAGGGGGAAGAAGTAGTGGGGAGGCTGTAGGGCAGGAAGATAAATGTTGTAGAGCCCAATCCTGCCCCAGTGATACAAGTGAAAAGACCCACGGCCATTCAATCATGCATCAAATAAATGCCATTACTCTTCTTCCTAATCCTGTTACACAATGCAAGATCCTTAACTGACCAAAGCCAGTACTGTATAAGAAACCAAGACTCAGTCAAGGAATCACACTGGATGGTCATGAGAAAAATCATTCTCTCTCTATT